CACATTTGGGGATATGAAAAAATACCTGAATCAGAAATATAAACACTAAAAACATAAATGGACAAAAAACAAGAGGAAATAAGAAATGACCAAATTCAGGTAAGAAATAGGATAGCAACAACAACAAAAAGAAATGAAGCCTAAGTTATAAGGCATCCAAAGGAGAACAGAAAATACGAGGTAACCTCAAACAATACGGTGAGTGCTCAAATATTAAAAAAAAAAATATTACAGTAAAACACATTGACATTAATCCCCCTCAAAATACTCCCCCTCAAAATACTCCCCCTCTGGGCTGGCCGAGTGGTGCATTGGTTAAGAGCTGGCCTGGGACGCCAGAGGGCCCCGGTTCGGATCCCACATATGAGGGCCAGTGACACTGCCCTCCACAGCTAAGATGCTGAACAACAGCTCAACCTGGAGCTGGGCTGCAGTGAGTCGCCGATGACAGCGTAGGCTGCAGACCCTGTGGCAGTGGGTTGCCATGGGCTACCGTGTGTAGCCAGCAGCCAGCGTGAGCAGCCAGCAGCAGCAGTGAGCTGCCGTCCAGAAGCCGGCGACTGATCTGCCTCACCCAGGAAGAGCGCAATGATGGTGCCAACTTGGGCCAGTGAAGCAATGTCCTCCACAACTAGACTGAAGAACAAAAGGACAGCAACTTGTCTGTTCCCCTTCCCCCAATTCCCCAGCATTGTTCCTATCCCTCAATTCCCCAATAAAAATCTTAAAAAAAAAAAAAATACTCCCCCTCACTTCGAAAGCTTATCACATGTTCTTGCCACTTTCTGAAGCAGTTCTGGGAGTCCTCTTTTGCGAGTGTCTTTAGTTGCGCTGTTGTGGCTGCTCCAATGTCCTGAGTAGATTAAATATTTACATTTCATGGTCAATTTGACTTTGAAAAAGAGCCAGAAGTCATATGGTGCCAGATCCGGTGCATAAGGTGGAAGAGGACACACTGTAATGTTTTTATTTGACAGAAATTGCCATACTAGAAACAATGTGTGACACGGAGCCTTCCATTGTGATAAAAAAAAAAATACTTGAATGCTGCTGCCGAGTGCCATCCAAAGGAAAGGCAGGGATCTTCAATAGGGGAAGCAGCACGTTGAACCTTAGTAACAGTGTGTGACAAGTTTCACCTTGTTCGGTGCAGTCAGCCAGGTGTGAGCTATGGTTGAGAGAAGGTTTGTTTTAAAGTGCGCCATAAATCATCCTCCATCATGACAATGCTGCGTGTCACACATCGCTTCTGGTATATGATACTTTCTGTCAAATAAAAACATGATGGCGTGTCCTCATCCACCTTATTTATCGGATCTGGCACCATGTGACTTCTGGGCTCTTCCCCAAAGTCAAAATGACCTTGAAAGGCAGATGTTTTGAATCAATTCAGGACATTGGAGCAGCCACAACAGCGCAACTAAAGACACTCACGAAAGAGGAGTTCCAGAACTGCTTCAGAAAGTGGCAGGAACTATGTGATATGTGTGTTCAAAGCGAGGGGGAGTATTTTCAGGGGGATTAATGGCAATGTGTCTTTTATTGTAATAAATTTTGCTTTTATTTAAACATTCACCGTATTGTTTGATCACACCTTGTAGATGCAAATGAAATCTTAACAAAGGGCATTGAAGAAAAGCAGGAAAAGAACCAAAAGATTGAAAATGAAATAAAAAAAAGATGTCGAGATAAAAGGTCAGAGAAAAAAATTGTTGAAATGGAAAAGAAGCAAAGGAAGTCAGACGCATGCATAACTGGTGTCCCTGAGGAAGAAAAACCAAAACAATGGGGGAAAAAACCCAAATATTTAACACTACAATAAAAAAAAAAAAGAACACATAGAAAGGGTTCACTGGGTACCATAGCAAAATGACCCAGGACAATAAACTCTGAGTTGTAAACAAGTAAATTTGAACAATAAAGAAAAAAAATCCTCAGGGCCTCCAAGCAAAAAGAGGAAACATGTTAAAAAGGCAAGAGAACTTGCATCAGATTTCTTTAAAACAACATATAAAATCAAACTAACAGTGGAGCACCATTTTCAAAAAACTAGAAAGGGAAGTGTGACCCAACGATACTATATCCACTACAGCTGTCCTGCAAAGTATCAGGCCATAGAAAAACAGTTTAGAACATTCCAGAACTTATAGGATACACAAATGTGCCTCTCCTAAAGAATCTACTAAAGGATGAGATTTATTTAACCAAAAGATGACTAGTAAAACTACACAGAAGAAATGATAGTAAGCATTTCATCTATTTCATTCTAGAGCAAAGGCTAAAGGGTGGGTCATGGATTAAAAAAAGAACTGTATTTTCTACCATTTTTCAAATAAAAGAGCAAATCATTATAAGTTACTAGTAGATTCCACACATAGGGAAAAAATGCAAAGCATTTCAAATCCTTTGACTATTTATTGTAATTTTATTATACTGATCATGTTATAGCATCTAAAATGAGAAGCTGCTTATTAAAAAAATATGAAAAATTTGTAACACAAAACAAGACAAAAACATTAAACTTAATGTGGTTAATCATATGTGGAACTTAGTGGGGGAAAACAGTATTTTTAATGATAATGCACTCAAGATTATCCTCAGATGATTTAACTACAGCAAAAGTGTTTTAAAGTTCAAGAAAAAGTTTATGATTCACATTTAAGGCAGGAGGTTATTATTTAGTTCAAAATAGCAGATAAAAAATACATTTTACAAAAGAATATGATTTCACATAAATTTAGTTTCTCAATTATGCTGTCTCCTGGTTTATATTAAGATGACTCTATATCCATATACATACAGAAATGGGGATTAAAAACCATAAATACACTTGTAAAAATCATTAATGCCAAAATAATAAAGTCACAACAATAGTGATAAATTTAACATTTGCTAAGTACTTACTGCATGCTTATAAACTGCTTAGCATAATCTCAATTAATACTCACAAAAAGTTTATGAAGATAGATACTTTTATTATCCCCATTTAATAGCTGAGGACATTGGGCACAGAGTATTACCTAATTTACACAAAGTCACAGAAATATAAGTGGTGAAACCAGGATTGAAATCCAGATCTGATGATTTTATGGTTCATGCTCTCAAATTTCATGCTCTTAAATCATTATGTCATTCTGCATGTATATTTATAATAAAATCTCATTTAACTACAGTAATTTACCCTAGAATATTTTATACATCACATTTCTTTGCTTACTTTATTATTAAAATGAGTTTGCCTTTCTTAAATTTATTCAATAATTTACTATTGAGGGAAGTAGTGCAGTCTTTTAGATTAAATTCAACCTATTTTAAAAGGCATAAAAAACCATATTATAGCTTCAACCACCCTTACCATTCTGCCCCGAGACCTGCTGCCCACGCTGCCCTACAATTGAATCTTATGTTCCCATTATACTGCAAATCCGGCAGCTCCATGAAACAGACATGGCTCTTTCTCACTCTAAGCCTGCCCACATGCAGGTCTCTCTGCAGGACAACTCTCTCCCCACCTCAGTCCCTCAACTCTGTCAGGAATTATTTTCTCTTTATCAACCTTTAAGAACCACTTTAGGCATGGCCTCTCTGGGGAAGACTTCTTAAGTACGTATGAACGTGACCTTCATCCATATTATTCCTCTGTTTATTTCTATCATAGAATTTATCACACTGGTCTGTTATTACCTGTGTCCTGAGAGTGCCAGCACAGTACCTAGCAACCAGAATTTTCCAAATTGTAATCAATGGGATAAAATGTTTGATGTGTTTACTTGAAAAGATAATTTACATTTATCGGGTGGCTCCAATTATATATATTAATAGTATAATTGATAATTATCAGTTGTGTTATTCAACTTGACATCTGATGGCAAGAAGTTATATTCTTTTAGTTAACTTTTAGAAGATGCAATAGTACAAGAAGTTCTAGAATAATATTTATGAGTGAACTGTATTATATAAAGGAATTTAACATTTTATTTTTCTCATTAAAACTGTTCTGTTTTTCCATAGAAAAGTATACTGACCAGAAAAGAAATAAAAGAGTAAAATGAGGCAATATCTTAACAAAGATTTGTCACTGGTTATCACGGAAAAGATCTAAGCTATTCCACTGGTCATCAACTCAGTAGTTGTTGACCTCTGGCATGTCACCTCTGGCATGTCACTGAGAGACACAGTTGGCTACTTTTCTCCCTCCTTGTTTTACCTTATTTCTCTGAATGTAAGGAGTATCCCTCACTACCATTCTAAGAATTAAAAAAGAAGCCCATGTTCACTTTAACCATACAATTCACAGTGCCTCCATAACAGTTTGCAAATAAATAGAGGAAGGTTTTGTTTTGTCTTGCTTTGTTTTTAGGTTGTTGTTTTTTTTCCTGATTGGTATAGGAATTAAAGATTTTGGATAAAATAAAGAACTACACTCTAATCTACCCAGCATCAAGTAGCTAAGCAAAGGATACTACTTAAGCAGTAAAAATATAAAAGACCAACATAAGTTTTAAAAGATATATGAATCAACAGAATTTTAAATTCCAATTCTTAAAAAAATTAAATAGCAGTAACAAAAGATATAATGATACAAAGACAAGACAATAAAACAATACTTCATTAGCCCTTTCCCCCTAATTATTCAGACAAGATTGAAGGATATTATAGTATAAAATGTTAAAGCAAACTGTTTTAAACCCTAACAACTACTTTTCCTAATACTATTGATTAAAAACTCTGAAAGAAAAATCAAATAAAACCAAAAAAAAACAAGCTGTCTCTAAAACTATAAAAAAGCAAAATGTAAGAGGAAGTTTAATAAGATGTTCTCATAATAAAAACTTTATGAAGTACTAAATTAAAGTAATAAAACTTTTTAAATATCACCATCTTTTAAATATATAAAACATGTCTTTCTTTCAAAGATCTGATATCACAACATCACAGATTTTCACAAAACTGAGTCACTAACTTGTATTTTTTCATAATAAATTTGCAGTTATATTTACCTTCAGATCCCATGATGAAGTGATGGATATCAGGGCCTGTTGACATACGAGGTCCTTGACAGCTTTTTTCTATTATACCTCTAGGTGTTACCATTTTTATATGAACCACCTGTTTAATACAATGCACGGTGTAAATTCTACACATTTGTCAGTGAATATTGTGTGTGTGTACACACATCCATATATATTTATATAAAACACTACTTTTTAAATATTGGGTTAAGTGATAAATGGTGATGCCCTTCAGAATTCTAATACCTTTTAGTAATTCTTGCACTAAAAATAAACTTTATAAACTTTAAAAGAGGGTCAAATCAATCTATGACTCCTACTGGTTTAGGTATATTTATCATCTTAAGAACTGAAAAACATTTCTTTAAAACAAATTTAGTCTATCCATGTGGCAAAAAACTAAAGGACGAAAAAAATACGCAACGGTCGTATTTTAATAGGTTCATTCTTTCACTAATTTAACAATATTTATGAAACACTCTTACTCATATCAAGCACTGCTCTAGATGCTTAGAATTCTAAGACAAAAACTTTTTCTTGCCTTATCCCCTCCCTTCAACTTACCTAATATGTCCACTTAGTAGGAAAAAGTGAAAAGAATAAAGTATTACTTATGATCAGGTCAAAATTGGGATGAAGAGGGAGATCCAGTAATCGGGCTAAAGAGAGGGAGAGGGATATGTGTGCGATATACATGTGCGATGTGTCTCACACAGGTGAGAAAGTAAGTATACTGCGGGAGGGGTCACTCAAGAATAGTTCCTGAGGTCTGAATCAGAAATGGTTAGGTAAAAATCCAAAGCATATTTAGAACGGTTTTTGGACAAATAAATAAAAACAGTCTAGGTACTGTTGAAGAAAATGAGCAGAGAACATCAATAAGCAATGTACAAAGTAAAAAACAGAAATTGCCAATGAGATCATTTTAAAAGTTTACATTCACTAGCAATTAAAGAAATAAAAAATTAAAAGACAAAATATAAAGAGTCCAATAAAATAAAGATTCTTATAGTGTTAGCGGGAATGCCAACCGGCACAAAATTTCTGTACAGCAATTTAGCTATAAGGATCCAAAGACAAAAATGGGGGCCGGCCAAGTGGCTAAGTTGGTTAAGTGCGAGCTCAAGAGTGCGAGCTCTGAGCAACAGCAGTTTGATTCCCAGCCAGAGCTGAGCTGCCAACAGGTGGCAGGATGGCTCAGCTTAAAAAAAAAAAAAAGACTTAAAAATGTATGAACATCTTGATCCAGGATAATGTAAACATTTAAAAAGTGTGCATAACAAAGACACCTAAAGTGTTAAATTACTGGGTGTTAACTATAAAGAACCAAAATTTTCATTAAAGGTTTACTATTTCTAGCAATGAAGATATTGATGAAAATGTTGAAACTTTAGACTTGAAAAGCAAAGCTAAATAGCTCTAAGAGTAATGTTAGGGACATCCCTTTAATGGTCTCATAAATTAAAGTTATTTTAAATTGTTATCAAAATATTGATGACAAGGGAACTAACATTTATGAAGCACATACTGCACACCAAGGACTCTACCAGAATTTTCATTTTATGTCCTTTACTTCTTATAATAATTCTATGCAGTGGTTATCATTATTCTATTTTACATAGGAGAATGCTGAAGTTTAGAAAGGTGAACCAATTAGCACAAGGTCACACAACTAATCACTGGAAAAGCTACAAATGGAACAAATGATACCTAATTCCTCACCAGGATGCCCATAGTTACACTGTTCTCACAATAACTCCCAGAACATTGGCACCAGATCAGCTAAAACAAAATGGTGCGCACATAAAACACTAGAGGTCATACCGCCACTTACTATAACCTTTTTCAGTCGGTCCCCTTAATTCCATATGGAATTTTTTTTTTCCAGAAATATAAAATCTCCTAAGGCAAAAGATGGAGCAATGACAAGATCACCTAAACAAATTGACTAAAATCTTGTTGGAGTTGAAGACTGAGGCTCCATGAGGTTTATAAAATAATATTTATATATTTTAAAAGTCAGATACTATGAAACATCTATAAAGCTTAAGTATCAGTCACTTAAAAAGGAGCACCCTTAAGCAATGACCACAGCTGTGTCTTTCAACTGCTTCCATTATTAGTCGATGTTACCATAATCAAAAGGAGTATATTTCTAGAGGACTCCACAATCCAACTCAATTTTTAAAGGCTTTAATCACTGTATAATAATCTCTATATGCTAATCAATTATTTTACAATAACTAATAAACATTTACCAGGTCTTCAATATTGCCGTAGATATTCTTCTTCATGCCTGAGGCCCGAGTAGAGACCCATCCTCCCACAGTGCTGAATTCCAGGGAATCTGGTTCATGACCTGTACAATAACCACTTTCTTTAAGCTGAAAAACAAAAATGGAATGTTTGACTAGTGAAAATGGTCCCATTTCACACAGCACTCAACACATTAACTCTTCCTACTTTAAAATTCCCATATGTCACTGGAATTTGGACTCATTAAAACCTACATAGAAAAAAGAAATACTTTTATCATAACTTGTCCAAAATATTTTTTAAGCATTTGCCTAGAGGAAAACTTTACAAAGCTGAAAAATGTGGTCTTAAAAGACAGCTGAATTTTCCACAGGTTCACCAGACAATCGTACTCCTTATATCCTTTTTATTTTTAAAGTCAACTACCCTCCCTTCTTTTTTTTTTCCCCCACAAAGAGACCATTTAAATACTTATGGAGATCAGATTATGCTTAAATAACTGCCAACTTCACCAAAACACTTTCAATAAATAAAGCACTTAATCTCTTGTTCTCCCTACCCTAATATAATATGCAGCAGGCCTGCAGAAAATCCTAGCAAATTGCCTGTGCTTAATTCTCTCAAGGAGTCATGTGTTTTAATGCACAGCCATCTGGTTAGGCTTCCTGCATGTAATGCTGCCATGTACTTGTGATGCAGATCATGCATTCCTGTACATTAAATAGTCACTTGTTTCTCATTTTTCTATATTAGCTGGGCTTTGCCATCTGCACAGCACCTGAGGTTGAATGATGCCCTTTATGCAACAACACCAAAGCCATTCCACTGAACTCATTTTAAAGACTCAGTCATCTCATGTCAAACAGTACAGACACCACCATCTGCATACCCACTGTCTACTGCACTCAAGCCCATCAATCTGTGTTGACCATTTGATAGTCAATCAGTGAGGCAACTGCTTCTGTTTTTCAAGTAAGCCATGCAGAGATGTAGAATATGTCAGCTAGGTTTGTATATTCATGTATTTAAGTATGGTATGAAAGTTGTAATCCAAAAATTGAGAGCCTATTAGGTTAAATATAATTTGTTAGCTTTCGCACACAAGCAATGCAAATTATTTACCTTTTCTAGTTTTGTTGCTAGGAAAACAAGGTTTAAAAATTATCAATTGTTACATAATAGGATTTTTCCACTAAATATTCAATACAATTATTGAATTGTATTGAATACACCCACAAGTAGGTAGCTTAAATACATGACTGAACTGGTTAAAATAAAGATTATCAGACTGCTATATTACATTATTTCCCACACTCCCAAACAATATATATTATTCACTCTCAAAAGACTACTGTCACTAAAATCTTTTAAAATTAGAAGAAAAAGAAAAGACATTCATGGGGAACTTAGATGAGCTAGGCATTGACGAGGGAGTTTTCACTTATTCTCATGAAAAAAATCTCCACATTACCTATACAGAAGCAAATCATTAAATACATGTTTAAACTATTTCTGAAAGTGCATCCAGAGTGCTGAAAAGCACATACAGGAGAGGAAACTGCCCAGAACCAGAGGAAAAAAATAAAAGGATCAGAGAACAGACCAGGAGAAAATATTTGCAAAAGATACATCTGATAAAGTACTGTTACCCAAAATATACAAAGAACTCTTAAAGCCAAGAATAAGAAAACAACTCAATTAAAAAATTGGCCAAAGACCTTAACAGACACCTCATCAAAGATAGCAAATAATATAAAAAGCTGCTCCACATATGTCATCAGGGAAATATAAATTAAAACGAGATACCATTACACACCTACATGAATGTCCAAAATCCAGAACACTGAAGACACCAAATACTCGCAAGGATGTGGAGCAGTAGAAACTCTCATAAAATGCTGGTGGGAATGCAAAGTGGTACAGCTATTTTGGAAGACAGTTTGGTGGTTTCCTACAAAACTAAACATCTCTTAACATACAATCCAGCAGTTGGGCACCCTGGTGTTACTCAAAATTGAAAATTTATGTTCACATAAAAACCTGCACACAGATGTTTATAGCAGCTTTATTCATATATTGCCAAAAGGTGGAAGCAGCTAAGATATCCATCAGTGGGTGAGTGGATAAATAAACTGTGGTACATCCAGACAATGGAATATTACTCAGTGCTAAAAAGAAATGAGCTATCCAGCCATGAAAAGGAGACCCCTTAAATGCGTATTACTAAATGAAAGAAGCCAACCTGAAATGGCTACATCTGTGATTCTAACTAGATGACATTCTAAAAAAGGCAAAACCACGAAGATAATAAAAAGATCCATAGTTGCCAAGGGTGGGGGAGGAGAGAGATGAACAGGCAGAGCACAGAAGAATTTTAGGGCAGTGAAAATACTCTGTATGATATTATAATGATAGATGCATGTCATTATACATTTGTCCAAACCCATATAATGTACAACACCATGAGTTACCTCTAAGATAAACTATGGACCTTGAGTAATTATGTGTCAGTACAGGTTCACTGTTGGTAAAATATCTACCATTCTGGTGAGTGATATTGTTAATGGGGGAAGCTACGCATGTGGGGGGTATATGGGAAATCTTTGAACCTCCCTCTCCCTTTTTGTTGTAAACCTACAACTGTTCCTAAAAAACAAAAAACAAAAACGAGTTTGGTTGTTTTTTTTTAAAGATGAAATAAAGACATTTTCAGACAAACAAAAAGGAAAGAATTCATCAACAGTAAAGATATGTTAAAAGAAGTACTTCAAGCAATTGGTAAATAACATTGGATGGAATTAAGGGTACCAGAAAGGGTAACTAAATGGGTAAATACTATATTAAATTTTTTTTACTATTTAAATATCTTTAAAAGACAATTCACTGGTTCAACAAAAATAATAATCTATTGTAGGCTTTACAGCATATGTAAATAGAATGTAAGACAATAATAGCACAAAGGAGGCAAGGGGAGAGGGAAGAATACTATTGTAAGGTTCTTATACTAAACTCTGAAGCATTGTATTATACTTGAAGGTAAACTGTTTTAAGTTAAAGATGTATACTGTAAACCCTAAAACAACCCTTAAAGTAACAAAACAAGAAGTTATAGCTAGTAAAGAAACAAAGGCAATAAAATGGTATCGTAAAAAATATTCAATCCAAAAAAAGGCAGTAAAAGTGGAAAAGGACAAAAAAAAAATAAAACAGATGGGAAATATAGAAAACAAAAAGTAAGATGACAGATTTAAATTGAACCATATCAACAAACAACATTGAAGGTAAATGGTCTAAACACCCCAATTAAAAAGTGGAGATTGTCATGTTAGATACAAAGGAAAGACCCAATTTTATGCAGTTCACAAAAAAAAGCACTTTACATTAAGAAAAAAAAGACACGGGCCGGTCGAGTGGTTCATGGTTAAGAACTGGCTTGGGATGCCAGAGGGCCCCGGTTCGGATCCCACATATGAGGGCCAGTGACACTGCCCTCCACAGCTAAGATGCTGCAGCCCCTGTGGCAGTGGGTTGCCATGGGCTACCGTATGTAGCCAGCAGCCAGCGTGAGCAGCCAACAGTCGCAGTGAGCGGCCGTCCAGAAGCCGGCGACTTGATCTGCCTCGCCCAGGAAGAGTGCAATGTTGGTGCCAACTTGGGCCAGAGAAGCAACGTCCTCCACAACTAGACTGAAGAACAAAACAAAAGCAACTTGTCTGTTCCCCTTCCCTCAATTCCCCAGCACTGTTCCCATCCCCGCAATTCCCCAATAAAAATCTTTAAAAGAAAAAAAAGACACAAAGTAGTTAAAAGAATGAAAAAAAGGAAGATACACCATGCTAACAATAATCAAAAGAAAACTGGAACAGCTGTTTTACTATCAGATGAACTAGATCTCAGACCAAAGAATATTATCAAGAAGAAAAAAGGTCAGTTCATAATGATAAAATGGTTCATTAATCAAAAAGATATAATAATCTTAAGCATTTATTCCCCTAATAATAGAGCTTTAAAATATATAAAATAAAAACTCATAGAACTGCAAGAAAAAAACAGATCTAAATGATAGTTGCATCTTTTAATTCCCCCTCTCAATAATTGATAGTACAAGTAGAAAGAAAATAAGAAAAAGTATCAAAGGCCTGAACAACACTGTAAATCAATTTCACCTAATAGACATTTACAGCAGAAGACACACACTTTTCAACTGTACATGAACATTACAAGATAGACCATACTGGGAGCCATAAAACGACTATCAATTAATTTGAAAGAATTCAATCATATAAAGTATGTTTTCTGAACATACAGAATCAGTAACAGAATGATGGAAATATTCCCCAATCACTGGAAACTATAATTATTTGTAAGTACCCATGGGTCAAAGAGAAAAATCAAAAGGGATGTAGAAATATTTTGAAATGAATGAAAATGGACATATCAACATTTATAGGATACCACAAAAGCAGCAGTTAGGAGAAATTTATAGTACTGAAAACCTGTATTAGAAAAGAAAAATCATAAATTACCCCATTTCCCACTTTAAGACATAAAAAGCATTTAAGAAAATCCAACATCCATTCCTAATAAAAACTCCATAAAACTAAAATAGAAGGAACTTCCTCAACTTAATAAAGGGCATCTATTAAAAAACCTTATAGTTAGCATCAGAATTAACAGTAAAGAACTGAATGCATTTCTCCTAAATCAGAAACAAGACAATGATGTTTTCTTTCACTTCTTACAACATTGTATTAGAGGTACTATATCCAGTGCAATCAGGCGAGTAAAAAAAACATAAAGGCATACAGATTGGAAAGGAAGGAGTAAATTGTCTTGACTCACAAAGGACATGATCACATATGTAAAAAATCTAATGAGAGCTACAAGAAAATTTTTAGAACTTGTTAGTGAATTTAGCAAGGTTGCTAGATATAAGATCTCTATACAAAAATCAATTGTATTCCTATATAATAATAAAGAACACTCAGAAATTGAAAACTTTTTAAAATACCATTTACTGTAGTACCATATATATACATATATGTATACATATATACACATATATATACACATATATACATATATACACATATATACATATATACATATATATATATACATATATACA